CTCACGTATTTCTCATGGGCATCTCTGGTTATTTTCTTAGGATCAATACCTAGAAATGAAACTAAAGGGTCAACATGTATAAACATTTTAAGCCTTTTGCATACTATTTCCAAACCACCGATCAGAGAAACCTAACCAGGGTAGGTCCCCTCGGCTGTGCCAGTGTCTGCTTCCCCAAACCCTTACCCACGCGGGATTTCATAAGTTTTAAATTACTGCCAAGGGTGGGAGATGGGTGGAGGGGGCAAAGGGAGAAATGGGGGACATCTGTAATACTCTCAACAATAAAATAAATGTTAAAAAGTTACTGCCAATTTCATAGACCTCCCCCAAAGTGGCATCTTGTTTCCATTTCCGTTCATTTAATTTCTCTGGACCTAAACATTTTACTGGTTATTTGTGTTTAGTCTCAGTTTGAGTTGCATACTTTTTTCATCTTAAAGATATTAATCCTTGTCGTATATATGTTTGTTCTTTCATTTTTGTCTTTTTTAAAATAGGCTTTATTTTTTTAGAGCAGTTTTAGGTTCACAGCCAAATTGAGGAGAAGGAAGGCACAGAGATTTCCATGTACTCCCTGCTCCACACCTGCACAGCCCCCCCAGGTGCACAGACTCCCCCACTCACCATCCCCACCAGATGGTGCATCTGTTACAATCACTGAACTTGCATCGATACGTCATCATCGCCCAGAGTCCACAGTCTGCACTGGGGTCAGTCGCTCTCGGTGTTGTACAGCCCATGGGTTTGGACAAATGTCTGATGACTTGGATCCACCACTATCGTGTCATATGAAGCAGCTTCACTGCCCTAGGGACCCTCTGTCTCCACCTGCTCAGCCCCTCTCCCCTCCCCACAACCACTGACCTCTTTACTGTCGCCACAGCTCTGCCTTTTCCAGACGTCAGGTAGTTGGAATCACACAGGATGCACTCTTCTCAGACTGGCTTCCTTCACTTAGTCATGTGCATTTATGTCTCCCCCGTGTCTTTTCGTGGCTTGACGGCTCATTTAGTTTTAGCGCTGAATAATATTCTGTTATCTAAATGTGCCGTGGTTTGTTTATCCATTCACCTACTGGAGGGCATCTTGGTTGCTTCCAAGTTCTGGTAATTATGAGAGGCCACCAAAGGGTAACATTGTTTCCAGTCCCTCCCCCCATT